GTTTATGTGAATACAAATTGCTAGTTTCAATCTTTATTTATTCAACTATGTTCTTGTTGTAGTTAATTGACAGGATCCTCAATTAGCTGTGCCTATTTAGTGTGCATAACTCGGGAGAGAGTGCATATTTAGGTTATTGTTGAATAACACCACTCCTAAAGTATAAGAGGAATCTATAACTGCGGGTTTAAAGGCGGGATTAGGGATAACGAAGCCTTGGGTGCAATCTTAAGTGAACTGTGTTAATTAAAGCTAGCTAGTGTATCTCGGGAGAGTGCAATAGTATATTACTGTGATTACTCGGGAGAGATTTACGGTAAGAAAAGTGTTCATGATTGATAGAGGTGTGTTGGGAAATGTGTATGAAGCATAAACAGAAGGGATTCCATCAATAANTCATTGGGATGATTGTGTTGATTGGTCCTTCCCTTCCCCAAGCCCCCGCTATGATGATTCTATTGTTTTTTATGAAAATGATAGGGCTAACGAATTGGAAGAAGTTGAGCATGGCCGAAAGGGAGAGTTCAAGCTCATGTTGGAGTGCTTACTTGAAGGAGGACACAAAGAACAAAGTGCTTTGGAGGAGCTTTTGAAAATAGTCTCCAAAGTTCCTTGGCACTTAATCAAAACCAAGAACTCTCAATTGCTCAAAATGAGAAAATAATACTCATGTTGGAGACCATTCTTGAAAATGAGGGAGAATGTGAGCTAAAATTTGAAGAGTCAAGAATTGAACCTCAGCCAACCGACCCCATGAGTACCAATGATGCCGAGAAAAACATGGACTTAGAATCAACCGGTGTAAATAAAAATCTGGTTGAGAATGACTCTAGTCCGGGGAAAGAAGAGGATGTCAGAATAGAAAAATTGCAAAATGAAGGTTTGAAGTCACATTCCAAGCATTTTTCAACATTAGAATTGTGTAGTGATATAAAAATTGAACTACATGAGTCCGTGAGGGACTGCGAGGAGGAAAGGCAACAACCATACATTTTACAATTTGAGGAAACAAAAAACCAAAATGACATTCCTCACATGAGAGCCAAGAAGTGCAAAATGAAGAATTTAAGGCTCGGCTCGATAATCAACTTACCACCCCCTATCGCTCGTGGTCACAAGCTTGATTCCAAGCTAGGTGCACAGTTCATATCGTCCAAGTGGCGAGAAAAGTGGTAAAATTGTTTGCGTCGTGCCGCGACTTTAAATCAAGCGCTTGTTGGGAGGCAACCCTATTTTATTTTATTTTTATTTATTATTGTATTATTCTTGTAGTGTAGATTTTTTATTTTTAGGAACATGGAACACAAAGCCATTGGAAGGATGTAACAACAAACCATTGGTTGGAACTAAGTGTGAGGTACCCACACGAAGGACCAAGATTGGGAGAAGTCTGAGTACCCCATGAGCTGCTAGTGTTTCGGCCTTTGGCATACCAAGGAGTTTCTTTTACCCTCTTATTAGTATGATGTGCATTGGGGACAATGCCCAATTTTAAGTGTGGGGTGGGAGACTTGCCTTGATACTGTATTGTAGTGTACAAAGACATGGAACATGTTGTAATATTGTATATGTGTTGTTGTGTATAGTTGACTGTACTCACATTAGGAGTAACTGACTTGGCCCAATGACGGACGCTTGTCGACGGGTCTCTTGAGGGTCAAAGTCAAATCTAAAAAATAAAATAAAAAAAGGTACAGGACTCTTCTTGAGGACGGACCACTTGGACAGTACTCTTGAGGGATAGTCCATGTAGCTTCTTTTTATTTTATTTTATTGTTCTTTTCTAGGTAGTGTAGTAATTCCCCCTTGGTTTTCCTTTAAACCACGGTTCTTTTTCAAGGGTTTTATTTGAACCGGGTGTAGTTAGTTTTTTTTTTTGGAGTAGGAGCCATTGTGTTTTGTTTTGAAGTGAAGCAATATCTCTTGACTTTGTTATGCCTTGAGAATAGTGAGTACTTTGGTTGTGACGCTTAGGATAAGTTTTTGACTCTTGTAGAAGTACCTTAAATTGTATTATGTTAACTTTGCTCAACTGTTTTGACTAGAGTGTCTTGATGAATCCAATCCTGAGTGAGTTATGTGCTATGCGTGTGTGAGATGTGTTGTATTCTGTGCATTGCATTTGATGTCTAGAACTTGCCCTGTGTGTTTGCAAAGCGAAATAGTAGTTTTGTTCAGTCTTGGAAGTGATATAGGCATTTCTTTGTTGAGCCAGATATGTATATTTTACCCGCCTAATTGTTATGTATCGTAGTTAACCCCTTTGAGCCTGTAATCTAGTTTCTTTGGCAACCACATTACAAGCCTTACCCATTTGTTTGAATTAACCATCTATTTGAACCATTGTAACCTCTCATGAGCACTTGAATTGTTATGAACTTTCTAAAAGTTAAAGTGTGGGATGGTTGGTTTGGCTTTTGAGTGGAACCAATGAAATGAGGAGAAAGGTGCAATGATTTGAAAAAGCAAGAGCCACTTGAATTGGAAAAAAAAAAGGAAAAGGAAAAAAAATTCTTTGATAGTGGTGACTCTTGATATAATTGTGCTTAAATAATTTGGGAGTTGATGTATATTGATGTGAAGGTGGAGTTTGGTTTGACATAAGTATGGGGTTTGAATGTTAAAGTATATGTATTAAAATGTTTAGGGAGGTGTAGTCACTCTTATATCTAAATGTATCATACCCGTCCCGTAGCCTATGTCACACCTCCTTTTTCCGCCCCCGCGAGGGGTGAAGGAGTTTTTCCAATTAAAGGACAATCGAAACGGGATTTGTTTATTTATTTCAGAGTCGCCACTTGGGAGATTTAGGGTGTCCCAAGTCACCAATTTAATCCCGAA